AAAATAATCCATTCATTGAACTATAATGCTGCTGTCCAAATTGAAGGAGACTTTATATGCTTTTCCAGAAAATAGAGAAGGAAATACTTCACAAGTCATCCTATAAGGCATTATGAAATCAAAACCAGATAGATTATTGCAAGAAAATTATAGACCAATATCTCTTCAGAATATAATTGTAAAAATCAATAAAATGTCACCAAGCCAGCAACAAAGAAAGGATTATTCACTATGACCAAGTGAAATTTACCACAGGAATACAAATAGATTCAACTTGAAAATCAAGCAGTGGAGGCCAAAATCACACGGCCTTCATGCAGCAAAAGCATTTGAAAAATTCATCACCCTTTCATGATACACATTTTTACAAATTTGAAATAGACGAGACGTTCTTCACCTTAATGAAAGGCATCTATGAGAAAACATAGCTGTGGATTGAATCAAGTTTTTTGTAGCAGAAATTCATTAACGTTCATTGCTTTATAGGTTTCCTTTATAATTATACTACAGTTTTATTTATTTTTTTTTTTTTGGCCTTTTGAGACAGGGTCTCAACTATGTAGTTGAGACTGACTGGAACTCACTATGTAGCCCAGGCTGGTCTTGAACTCACAGCGATCCTCCTGCCTCAGCCTCCCGAGTGCTGGGATTACAGGTGTGTGCCACCACACCCGGCTTCATCTTGTTTTTACCTGTACATTCTTTGGGTTTTAATAGTTCACCTGTAGAAGCGAAATATCCTTGAGACTAAAATTTTGTAGATCGTTTTAGACTTTCTACATTTATAATTATACAGTGGCAGTTTATTTTAATTTTATTTTGTTTTAATTTTATTTTGTTGACATAGGCTATTGCTATGTATTTTAGGCTGGCCTCATTGTGTAGCCCAGGTTGGCCTTGAACTTGACTGCAATCCTCTTCTGCCCCCTGAGAGCTAGGATTGTGGGTGTGTGCCATCATATCTGGCTTAAATCTTTTATTTTTTTCATTCTCCTTTTTACACTGTGTAGGATTAGCAGTATAATGTTGAAAAGAAGTGGTTCTATAAAGTGTCCTAGCATGCGCAGGTCCTCCATTCAGTCCTGTAAAAACAAAAACTGGCAATCACCTTCACCTTAAAGTGATCAAGTTTAATATCACCAGCAATAAGTCATATTGATATAAACTAGAAGGGCACATATCTCAGATTCCCCTCTTAAATCTATAATTTCTGTCTGTGAGAAAACAAGCAAAACAAATTTAGGCACATCCTACAGTGAGTGTTGAGGTTATTATGGAAGAGTGAAAAATTGTCACAGTGGTATAGACAGACAAATGCAGTGTGGCATCCAGGAGAGAATATTCATGAAAAAATGAGGAATTAAAGGGTCTGGGGCTGGGTGTTCAGGACATTTTCCCAGCATGCCTGAAGTCCTGGGTTCAATTCCCAGCACCATGATAAGTAAATGAATATATAAATAAAATTTGAAAGTACTACTGATAAAGGGCCAGCTTTTTGTTTAATTTTTCTTTTCTTTTCTTTTTTATTTTTTTTTTTTTTTTTTTTTTTTTTTTTTTTTTTTTTTTTTTTTGAGACAGGGTCTCACTATGTAGTCCAGGCTGGTCTTGGACTCACAGTGATCCTCCTGCCTCAGCCTCCAAGGGCTGGGATTATAGGTGTGCGCCACCACGCCTGACCTGTTTCTTTAGTTTTTCACCTGTCCTGGAATAATACTTTTGTAAAATTTAATAAATTGCTATGAAAAGGAAAAAACAAAATCCAAGTCTTAGTTTATATTATTAAATGTGTCTGTTATAAGATAATTTTCAAAATCCTGTACAATTTCTGAATACTCTCAACTTCTATACTTGTTCATATTTACCTCAGTGAGGACCACTAATAATTTGTGAACTAACAGTAGTTCACAAACCAAACTTTGGGTGCCTCTGCTCTAGTTTTCAAAGTTGGATGTGGGTAGATGTATAAGAATAGGTGTTTTAAAATTTGGTTTAAAGAGAAAGATGCTTTTGTGGATGGGTAGGAGAAGAAACGTCCTATGATCCTACAGTCCAGTGTCTATAACTGGAGCAAACCCAGGCCCTGGGAGACACAAGTCCTTTTTGTTTGTTGGTTGGTTTTTGGAGACAGGGTCTTGCTATATGGTTGAGGCTGAGTCTCCTGAGTGCTGGGAGTATAGGCCTGCAACACTATGCCAGACTCCACACTCTATTTAATGAAGAAAGCAAAGCAAAACCCTAAAGGATGATGTTCATGTAAAGTATAACTGATTTTGCCTTCAGTTCTGTTGCATATATACAATAGTTCTGTCATCTGGGACTTATTGTTCCAAGACCCCAACCGATGCCTGAAACTAGATGGTACTGATGAGAGTATATAATATGAGCTGGGCATGGTGGCTGCACGCCTGTAATCCCAGCACTCGGGAGGCTGGGGCAGGAGGATCGCTGGGAGTTCGAGACCAGCCTGGGCTACATAGAAAGTTCCAGGTCAGTCTCAACTACATAGTGAGACCCTGTCTCAAACAATGTGTGTATATATATATATAATTATATATATAATGTTATTTTAATACAGATATCTACAATAAATTTTAATTTATAAATTAGGCACAGTAAGAAGATTAACTGTAAAAAATAACAAAAGAGAGCATTTATGCTACATCCAAACTTTAGTCCTTTCACTGTGATGACGTGAGGTGACCTGATGCCTATGCGACGAGATGAAGTGACTGTGGTATTGGCTCCGCAGTACAGCGGAAGCATTGTATGTGAGGGTTACTTGAACACAAGCACTGCAGCTTGTGGCAGCTGATCTCAGTAATTGGAGAGAGGGGGGACTCGTCCCCCACAGATGGAGCGTGACATACCAAGATTTCATCAAGCTACTCTGAATGCCGCACGATTGAAAACTCAGGAATTGCTTATTTCTATACTTTTCCAGTTAGTATTTTTGAACCAGAGTCGAACAGAAGTAACTGAAACAACAGAATATGAAATCATGCAGAGGAAGGGACAACTGTATTTAATTTTACCTAAAGCCTGTTCTTGTCTTTGCAACAAATATAATATGGCCTTGCTGTATATTTCCAAGGTGAGAAAAACATTTTAAATCTGCTCGAGAGTCAGCAAGACTGAATCTATTGAGCAAGTTAGCCTTTGCTTGGCTTTCCCCATCCCTATCCTCTAGCTTTCGTATTGCGGTGCAGATCTAAAATGTCCATGAAAAGTCTCACACTCAGGGGTGGAGTCTGATGGGACGAGGTGTGTCACTGTGGGAGTGCCTGTGGAGGGCACTCTCCTTCCATGGGTCCTCCTCTCCTTCCTGACCGTCACGAGATGAACAGCTCTCCACCATGCTCTTCCACCGTGAGGTTCGTGCCTTGGAGCCAGCCGACCATATACTGAACCCCTGAACTATCAGCTGCATCATTAAATCTCTCCTTTAAGTTGTGGGTGTCAGTATTCTGTCCCAGAAACCAGAAAGCTGGCTAACACACTTAGCTAGGGTGTTTTATGAACTTCTCAGACCATGGAAGACAGACAACAAGTGCTTCCTCCTGCCCTTAGACCACGCTTTTAGGAAAGCAAAAGACAAGAATGAAATGAGTGCCTCTTTTCCCCCATGCTGAAGATCAAACCCAGGGCCTTGTGCATTTTAGGCAAGTACTGTACCACTGATCTGTGCCTCAGGCCCTTAAGTCACTTTTAGGAAGATGCCATGCTATGATTTTCTGCAGGATTTCTGGGTAGGATTATAGACCATATATTTCAAGCTAATCTCAATCAGTTCTTCTAGTTACAAGATTCTTATGGAGGTGGTGATCATAAGATACATTTAGAACATTTGCATGAAGATAAGGCACATGATAAAGACCAAAGCATGATCTATCAACTTGTATCAGTTGATGCCTTTATCTGCTGGATTGGGGAGGTCACGGAATTGCATAGAAAAGGTAAAGTCCCCCAATAATTTAACCACATAAAACCTGGATCCAGGCAAAGTGAGAGCAACAAGCAGTACACCCAAGCTCCCCAAATCCTTACAATTCATTTATGGACCACAGAACAATGGTATTTCTCTGGGAGAATGCTACCTACCCAGGATAAAAATCCTCATAGTACTGCTTTGCATCTCTAAGTCCTTGAGTTCTTCTTTTAATCCTCCTGCCTCAGCCTCCCGAGTGCTGGGAAGTCATTAAGTTCCTGGATACACAAGGTGTTTCCTTCTTTCAAACTCTCAGAAGAAGATTCCTGAAGAAATTACCTCTCCTGCAGGTTAGAATTTTAGGGAATAAAGTTCTAAAACTTTTAAGTTGTTTAAAATCCTTGTTAAGTCCATGGATATGATTATTCTACTTCTCAACATGTTTTCAGCTTTGTAAGTTTCAACTTGAGAAAGATCTTATATTTGTGATTTTTTTTTCCAGGAACACCAGTAACTGTGTTGATTAATGCCTTCAGAGAACATGGAAAGGCACCAGGCTCATTCTGCTCTCAGTGCCTTGCTTCTCCCCACTCACCTGGGAACTTAGGTCTGACAAGCACTGTTTCTAGGAGGGCAACCTTATGCTGTCCTGGCTGCATCCCAGATCTTTCTAAATGCCCTGCTGCCCTCTTGGCTCACTCTTCCTTCCCTTGTTCTTTCTCACCAAATGAGCGATCTTAGCTCTCTACTCAAACTCAGTGCCGCTAACGTCACTCTTTGTCCTCCTCCTGGAAGGCCTGGGAACTGAGGTCCTGGGCCAGCAAGGGACACGGGAATTGTAAAGCCTGGGTTCAAAGAGACTCCACGAAAGGTGGGGTTCACTTTCTTCTGATCCTTTGAAGAATTCATGTTAAATCAGAGAAGAAATAGAGCATCCATATTCTTCCCTCTTGGTCTAAAGAAAGCCACACCAGAGCAGAGGCAAGGCTGTACTTAAGACTCTGACCGTTTATTTGTACCTTCTGAGGAAAGAGGTAGCCACATACTTTCAGGCTTTGCATCTCTAGCTCAAGTGGCAGCACCTCGCCCCTGAGTTGTGCATTCTCATTCCCAGGACAGAAAGTATACATTGCCCTGTGTGTCTCCCACAGCGAGCCGCAGGGTCGAGTCAGGTCCCAGAGAGGGTTCCAGGCAGCTCACTGCCCCTTCACATCGGAACAGGCCCACCTAAAACAGGAACAGAAACAGGAGGTGAGGGCCAGCTACCTGCCTGGGCTCTCCCTAGTAACTTATTTTGTTTGCATATAAATAATTGCCTTTTATTTAGAAACAGGTATATCACTGCAAGAGGAATGAAAGAAGAAGGAATTTTCTTGTATTTTGTTTGTTTGGGGTATTGGGGATAGAATTTGGGAACTTGCCCTTGTGAGGCAGGTGGTGGACTCACTGAGCTAAATCCCCAGCCAGAAAATGGAATTTTAATCTTGTGCTTTTCTTACCCAAATACGTTCTCCTGTAACATCCCTTTAGCCCCTTCCTGGAAGTGTGTTTGTTGTACACACACACACACACACTCTCTCTCTCTCTCTCTCTCTCTCTCTCTCTCTTACCAGTTGCATACTGGTTCTCTCCCACAGTTTAACATCTCTGTCCTTCGAAGCTGTCACCAGCAACTCAGGCAGCACATGGAGGGCCGTGACAGAGTCCGAGTGAATCTGACTGGGCAGGAACATGTTACTGTGAGTCCTTGGTAAAGGAAACACTGAAGTCACTGTGGCAGCCTACAGCTTCCTCCCTACCTTTGTGACCAGTCCTTCAGCCTCACCTTTCTATGCAGCTGTGTCTCTAAATGTAGTTCCGTCATCCAGTTATGTATGCTGGCACATGATGGATCTGTCTTCAAAGCCTGGACTTCAGGTGCTGCTACTTTTTTCTGCCAGATGTTTCCCTTGATCCATTCTCCTTCCTGGGTGCGTCCAGCCACCCTCCACAGCTCTCCATCAGAGCTGGCGCACAAAAATGATGACCCTGCCATTTTGAGGGCAGAGTTAAAGCCAGGTCTGTGCCTCCTAGGATCCGCCCACCTCGCCTAGGGCGCCACAGACCCCTCTGGTCTTCTCATCCCACTCACCAGATTTGGTCTGAGTTATCACTAGTGAGGTCCAACTAGTGTTTTTTAAATTCAGATCAAACTTTGGGAACTTTTCTAACTCTCCTGATACCTTTTGCTGCTGTAAAGGAACAGGTAACTTTGGTTAACCTGCCCATATCTCACAACTCTCCCAGGCAAAGCAACAATGTTCTGCTCTAGGATGGTCAAATTTTGTAAACACAAACTATAACATGGATACAGAGCAGGACACAAATGTGAAATGCCAAGTTTGTGGAATTTTTATATAGTGTTTTCCCACACAATCACTCCTACATCAATAGATGCAGACTATTTCTGTTACCCCAAAAGTTTCCCCTTCCTGGTCCAAATAAGGCCACCAGCAGATCTAACAATATTCTGACTCCTATCACCATAAATTAGTTCTGCTTATTCTCAAGTTTCATTTATATATAGTAGGGACTCCTTTGTTTCTGGCTTCTTTTGCCCAAAATAATGCCTATAACATGTCTATGCTGTTCCTTTCATTGATATTTGGTATCACATTTTTTCCCATCACAGACTATTCCATTATATAAATGTACCACAAATTATACTTTCCTGTTTATATACATTTGGGTTGTTTTCGCCTTGATGAATAACACTGCCACAGACATTCTTGTACTTATCTTTTAAAGAACTTGTGCACTTATTTCTCTTAGGTATAGAATTAGGAATGGAATCACTGGGTCACTGACAGGACTTGTGAATAACTTGAACAGGTACTAGGTTGGGGCTTTATAAGCTTTCAGGGAACTTCAGTGTCTAGCTGGGGCACAACCAAATCACTAAGTACTGCATGTCTATTAGGTAACTGGGGAACACAATGACAGAGACAAAGTTGCAGTCCTTGCCCTTAAGATGCAAATACAGTGATGAGACAAGGAGAGAAATGAAAAAGTGCAATTAGGAAAACTTGTAGGTTTCCGATTTCCCATGATTTCTTTGAACAGTAGAACCTCTTTTTTTTGGGGGGGGGTTTGAGACAGGGTCTCACTATGTAGTTGAGACTGACCTGGAACTCACTATGTAGCCCAGGACTACTATGTAGGCTGGACTTGAACCCGCAGCGATCCTCCTGCCTCAGCCTCCCAAGTGCTGGGATTACAGGCATGCACCACCACACCCAGCTAGAACCTTTTTTTTTTTTTTTTAAATAACAATGAAATCTTACATGGAAAACCAGTAACTCATGTTTTGAAGAGCTGCTCTCCCTGAAGGATAAGGGGATTTGGACCCAACAGCCTTTCATTCCCCTTCTCCCCTGTCATGAACCTGAATGTTTAAAAACAGTCTACAAAAAAATTTTTTTAAATTTTTTTAAATTTTTTTAA